GATAGGGCTTATATACATGGATACCGCTATCCACTAGAGTGTGGCTACAAACGAGATAAGGAACAGCTGATAGAATGACGACATGAAAAGATAACTATTCATTCGGATAATCGTAAGCAAGGTGTGGGAAAGGGGTGACATGTGGACGGAAGATAGAAGCAGGATGCTAGGCGAGAGCTAAGCGAGATTACCTGCGTTCTTTGGATCTCTCCAGATCGTCTGACGGCAACTCCCTTCTAGCATAGGGGGTCAGGGTAGCCGGTTAGGCCGTGCCCTGACAAGTGGTTTCCACTTTTCCAGAGAAATTTGTGCTCTGGATTTTTGTTTGTTCATCTGGCTGTTTAGCTGGATGGTTTTCCGTGGTTAGAGCCACCTTGCCAAGTGCGGAGCTTGACAGAGTACTAGTTGCTCCTGGTTTGGGAGCAAATGATTGTTCGACTTCATGGCCAGCATGAGTCCCCGGAACTTTGTTCCGGTGCTGTTTGGAGGCTGTTGCCTCTTGCCACAGCTCCCATGCTGTGTTCCCCAGTGTTCGTGAGGATTTTTGGACCGAGATCTATCTTATCTTGGTTGAACAGTTCCCTGTTGCATTGGACGCCTCCCACCAAGGTTACTTGCCCATAGGGTGTCGAAGTACTTGACAGCCTGCCACCTCTAGCAGTGGTCCCAGCCTGGGGTTTGCTATTGGCTGCCTACTGCCTTCCTTCCTCTCCTCAACCTGGGTCTGTGCTCTTGTTGGAGCACCACTCTGCAGTCCGGACAGGGTCACCTACCCACAGGGTAGCGAGAATTGTGGTATCCCATGCCAGTCGTGTTGGTCCCTGTCTGGGTTACACTTTCTGAGACCCAATATCACATCTCCTCCCCCTAACCTGGGAGGCCCCATCATGGTGGACTTGGCAGTGGGATTCTGCCCATGCGCAAGTGAGTTCAGGCTCACATTCAAGTTCCTCGATTTCTGGAAATCGGTTTCTCTTCATTTTGGAGAGAGGTAATCCTTCGCACTTCTATGCGAATCTTGTACTCCTGCCTCTGGGTGGCATGGTTCTCCTAGGCATTTCTTGGCACCTCTGAGTAATCAGGTCGTCTCTATTTGGATGGCCTGAGTGAGGAGCTTGTCTCGCTCTCTCGTTTCCCTTTCATGAGGGATTCTGTCTCATCCAACTCCTTTCGGAGTTGGCTTGTGTTGTCCACTATCACCGGGGGTGATAGCTTGCTCTCAGCTTGGGTTGGGCCAAGAATTTGTTGGCTTTGGCCATCTCGAAAAGCATGTGGACACTTCCCTGTAGGGTGGCTTACCCATAGGGTGTCATGGTACTTGGCAGCCCGCTGCCCCTGGTAGTGGTCCCCTTTTGGGGGTCTGTCATTGGCTGCCTACCATCTTCCCATCTCCCCTTGACATGAGTTTGCCCTCCTGAGGGCGGGCCCTTATGCAACCCAGACAGGGTCGCCTGCCCATGGGGTGGCGGGATAGTCGGTGCCCCACCCCTTGGTGCACTAGTCCCCATATGGGGTCGCGCCTCATGATGCCCAGAACTGTATCCCCTCCCCCTGACCTGGGAGGCCCCCATCATAATGGGTTTGGCAGCGAGGTCTGCCAGTGCACATGCCTCTTCAAGCTCACGTTTTAACAACTTGATCTCCCTCTTCTGGAGGTCGACTTCTCTCTCTGTGTCTTTCAGAGAGGCAAAGATGCCAAAGCATCTCTGCATGCCCTATTGTATTCATGCCTCCAATGGGCGCAATTATCGCAGGCATCATCTGACACCCTTGAGTTGTCAGACCATGCCCGTTTGGATGGCCTGGACAAGGAGCCACTGTCGCTCCCTTGTCTCCCTCCTACGAGGGACTTTATCTCTTTCAACTCCTGACGAAGTTGACCTGTCTGGGCAGCTACTGCTGATGCAATAGCTGAGTCCCAGCCTATATTTGGCTGGGTTGTCGGATCTGGGCCAAATTGGCCGATCCAGGGAGTGATTTGGCCAGGGAAGTTCCCTGGGGAGTATGCCTGGGGCTGCAGCAGCAATTGCTGCCCCTGGAATGGCGCTTGTTGTGCCATCAGTGCAGTTTGTACTGCATATGGTTTTACACATGAGCCTGGGGTTCACGTGGTCTAGGCGAGTTACTCGCCTAGCCCATGTGATGTCTAGCCCATGGTGTGGCTGTCTGGGCAAGTTGCTCACCCAGAATCTTCCCATGCTCTTGGCTGTGGGTGATAGCCCTTCAGCTTCACTTTTTCCACCTCTGTTTTTGGGGGCGTAGTGATGCCGAGAGTTCCATATCTTCTTAGATCGGGAGATTTTTCAGTTCCCTCACATTTTGTAATGTGAGGTACTCGTCCAGGCGGACAAGGTCGTTACGATTTCCCAGGGGTTCCCATGTGGTGTCCCCTAGCTCCCATTTGGCCTTAAACCAGAGTTCGTCATGAACCCATGCGTGGTTTAAGATTTCGTGAACTACTGCTTCGCAAGACACAATGGAGTCTCCTCAGTCTGAGGAGTTAAACTATAGCATATTACTATAGGTCAATGGTCGGGTAGACCTTCAAAAACCTCTTGGTATGAGAGGAAGGCTGCCAATAGTTGGCAGCAAGATTGCGTGGACTGGGTTGTCTGCACAAGTGGGAGTTAGGATCTCTACTTGATCTTATCTGCCAATTCTTGGTCCTCCTTCAGGTATGAGGAGGGCTGATTGGCCTTGTCGGCCAATTGTGCATGATGCAGCCCAGTATTTCTACTGGGGAGAGGGCGGATTGTGGCCACTAGCCAGCCAAGTATAAACTCCACCCAGAGCTTGTCTTCTTCTGGAGACTCCGGGGTGGTTTCTTCCGAAGGGTCCTCCTTCAGTGGGTCTCCCTCTGAGGTTTTTTTCTCGGGGGTGTTGTCTTCTGAGTGACTTTCCTCAGGGGAATCCCTCTTTGGTGTCGTCACCAAAGAGTTGGTAGTTCTTTTTTTGGTCTGGCTTATCGCCAGTTTTAGTGTATTTTTTTCGTCATTGTTTTCAATGGCATCGGATCTTGGGGCCATTATTGTGGTCCCAACGCTGATGTCCTCGCCCTTTCTTCTGGGCGAGTAGTGAGGTCCCTTGTTTGGGTCCTCTGGTTCAAAGTCATTGGAGGTGTCCTCCACTTCGAAATCACCAGAGATATTCTCTGGTTCTTCTTTGTCAGAGTCATCTCCAACTTCACCTTCTGTTTTGTAGTCGACTTCCCTGGCGATCCTGTGCCTTGGATTTCTGTCTCCTACTAACTGGTGCTCAGGGCGGCTCTTTGCCCGCTCTGGTATTCCGCAACGTACTTGTACCGGCCTTTGGTTGGTGTTCCCTGACTGCTTCAGGGAGGATTCGCCTTTCCATTTGGGTTTAGGGTCTTGCACATTGGCTCTTGCTTCTGCATGTTTCTCCTTTCCCGCCTGGTTGGGCTTTTCGCGATTTGTGGTCATGGTGGTTTCAGGTCTGGCATAGCATTCTGGCCTGTAGGCTGGAGCTATCCTCAGCCTGTTTTTCATCTCGTCCATGCGAGATGTTGTTCTGAACATCTCCTCGAAAGAGGAGAATCCCATTTTGATTATTTCCTCCTTGCATTCAGGGAGGATGTTTTCCAGAAACCTAGCATTAAGCGATGGTTCTGGGTAGGACTGTCTGGGTCCTTTTCCTGCATTGTACTTTACATTGCAGTATTTTTCCATCACCTTCAATGTGGCGGGCTCCTTGATATATGTCCTGATTAGAGTATCGAGAACTTCAAGAAATTTCCCCCCTTTATCTCTAAGGAGGGCTTCTTCATGGAGTTTTAGTCCATGTGAGAGTGCAGGCTCTGCCAATCCACCAATGAGACAATCCAGATGGATTTCATTGTAGTGTGCGCCTCTATATCCTCGTGATGTGAGGAATCCTAGCAGTGTGGTGTACCACTGCCAGAAAATTTCTGTATCGTTTTCGCCTGACCACTTCGTGTCAGGGAGTCGAGTAGGACTGTTATTTAACCAGTCCCACTTCACCCTGTCTATGTGCGGGGTGAAAGTTAGAAGTTCAGCCATCCATGTGGCCTTGTGGTACCATCTTTTGAGGTGCCCATTATCCTCCAGCAATGTTTTGCTGGAAGTTTTCCTTGTGAAGTTTTCATGAGGGTTTGTTTGGTTCTCTCCAGCATTACTGGAGGGGTTTTGCAGAAGGTTACTTCCACTTATCCTTTGCCTGGGTGAAGTGACCAAGGAGGGCCATTTATCGCCTAAGATGGGGCCTGGTGTTGATGGTTGCCTGCTCATTTGTGGGTCCTCCTTACTAGGCTCCTTCTTCTGCCACATTGCACTCCTACAGACTTCAGTGACCTCATCCGAAGTTGGTGACTTCGCTTTTTTTGGAAAAACTTTTGGGTTCGGCCTTGGCAGCAGTGGCTTCCCCTGAGCCTCTGTGCTCTCTGAGCATCTGCCCTTGACCTTTTCTCCTATTATTTCTCAGGCCTTTAGCCTGAGAAGGAGTTCTTCATCACTTCCTGTCCTCCATTCGGATGGGACCTGGAAAAAGTCCAGAGGTTTCTTGGACAATCGACTTCGGGGAGCTTCCCCATCCTCCTGCACCTGGTCCCTTTGCTGTGTCCAAGCTGGGTCCAAGGCCATCTGAGGACAGTCCGGAAGTGAGCTCAACCTGTGAGTCTGTGTCGATCTGGATGACATGGCCTTTATATCCATGTTGGAGTGTGTACACTCGTTCTCAGACAGAGCGCTGAGTGTCTCACAGTGGTTGTGAGATGGTGTCGGTTGTGTGGAAGTTTTTTCCACATTTCCTCCACTCAGGACTGGCTCCCTGCACAAGCGGGGGTCATCCCATGAGGGTTTTTGATGATTCCCAGTCTTATAGACTGGGGTTTGAACCGGCTCACGCCTAGGCGGCGAGCTGGATGTCTCACTATAGTTGCAAGACGGTAACGACGATGTGGAGGTTTTTTCCACATTTTTTGCAATCAAAGACGGCTCCCTGTGCAAGCAGGAGTTGTTGTTCAATTATTTTGCACAATTCCCAGTCACATAGACTGGGGAGTGAACCAGCATGCTGCGATTTTGCGGGCTGGACGTCTCACAGTTAATGTGAGACGATGTAGACAATGTGAAAGTTTTTTCCACATTTTTTGCGATCACAAATGGCTCCCTGTGCTGGCAGGAGTTGTCGTTTGATCGATTTGCACAACTACCAGTCGCATAGACTGGGGAGTGAACCGGCTTGCTGCTATATCGCAAGCTGGGCGTCTCGCGGCTGACGCGAGACGATTCCGTAGATGTGGACGATTTTTCCACATTTTTTGGAACTCCAAACGGCTCCCTGCACCAGCAGGAATGGTCATTTGGTTGTTTATGACAACTCCCAGTCGCATAGACTAGGGAGTGAACCAGATTGCTGCTATATTGCAATCTGGACGTCTTGCGTTTAATGCGAGACGATGCTGGACATGTGAAAGATTTTTCCACATTTTTTGGGATCAAAAACGGCTCCCTGTGCTGGCAGGAGTTGCCGTTTGATGGTTTTGTGTAACCCCCAGTCAAATAGACTTGGGAGTGAACTGGCCTGCTGCAATCTTGCAAGCTGGATGTCATGCAGGTGACTCGAGACGATGTGGACAATTTTTCCACATTGCTTGGGGCCACAAATGGCCCCCTGCACCAGCAGGAGTTACTGCTGTTTTTGTCAGTGTCTTGCACCAAGTGAGAGGTTCCCTGAGGATAGTGGGGCTCAGGGACTTCTTTTGGCGTGTCTGACCCAGCCCTTAAGGCTGTTAGTGTGGCAGCTGCGTGCTTACGTGTGCACATGTTTGCCTCCTCACCCAGTGGTGAGAACTCTCTTTTTCTAGGAGAGATCATGTTGGCACATGGGGTTCTAAGGGTATTGTTCCCCCGCATTTACCCCATGTAAGCTTTTGGGATCCTCAGGGTTTGCCCCTGAGGTCCTACCAATATGTGGCAGGTCTTCGTCATCATCCGATGACACAGTGTTTAGGTTATCTCCCAAATTGGGAGATTGCAGCTTCCCTGTTTGGGGGTATGACGGTGCCATGTCAGGCGCTGTCCCTGGAACAGATGTAAAAAGGATGTGTAGATTAGTTTTAATCACACCTCATGCACTTAAAAAAGTGTGAGGTCTGTGGGGCTCGCTCAGGTCACCAGGCCATAAGTGTCACAAAGGTGTGGGTATTACGGGGTGATAAGCGATATGTTTCAACCCGTCGCCTGTCACGTGACACTAATCTACAATGGGACTACATGTAATGGGGGCCCAGGGCTTGTGCCCTGACAAGCTTCCAGGAGTATTGAGGAGCAGCTGGGAATGAGACCAAGAAGAATCGGGAAAAATCACAACAGCAGAAAATAACAATGCTACAAGGCTTCCCCTCACTTTCCTATTCAATTTTCAGACTTTCCCTTCAATTCAGTTCTCATTATTTCTTGGGTCCCTGAAAGTATTTTCCATTAGCTGCTCCTGGACCCTCCCAGGAGCTTCCAGGAGTATCCAGGAGTATCCAGGAGCAGAGTGAGACCAAGAAGAATCAGGAAAAATTAGAACAGCAGAAAATAACAATGCTACAAGGCTTCCCCTCACTTTCCCATTCAATTTTCAGACTTTCCCATCAATTCAGTTCTCATTATTTCTCGGGTCTCTGAAAGTATTTTCCATTTTTCTCCGTCATTTCTTCCTCAATTTCGCAAATAATTATATATCCTGAAAGCACTTCAAAGGCACTACAGTTCCTGATTTTTTTTTTGATTTTTCCCCTAATTATTTTTTCAACTTTTTAGAAGTCCCTATTTTTCAAATTTTCCTCATTTCCCTCTATATTCCCCCCTCATTCTCCCCCTCATTTCCCCCTCATTTCTCCCCCTCATTTCCCCCCTCATTTCCCCCTCATTTCCCCCCTCATTCTCCCCCATTTCCCCCTCCTCCATATTCTGCAAGTCCGAAAGTGACTAAGCTGCCAGATTAATCATATATCAGGCCATAAATTTTGACTGTGTATTGGTGAGTCTCAGTGTCTTTGATGTATAGTATAGTGTTTGGTCTAAATGTTAAGTAGTGTCTTGTTGTGTTAGTCTTGTGGTAGGAGGTATTCATGGGGAGTCTTCCCTCTTTTTTTTCCTTTTCATTTTCAAATGCTCCAGGAGCTCCCAGAAGCTTCTCACCCCTATACATTTTGAAGCATTAAATTGTATTTACTGGATATGTTTGTGCACAAAGCAATGCTCCATGCCCTCCTGGGAGTGCCCTGGAGTACCTGACCAACTCTGGAGGAAATGAGCTGTTCCTGGACCGGCCAATCTCTCCTGATTCTCCCAGTGCTCCCCATACTCCGGAGCACTCAGGAGCATAACAATTTTTTGCTGATGCGAGTCACTGAGGCTGAATGCCCTACCCTCAGGCCTTGTTCACAGCATCGTGGCTTATAGCAGCCCACAACAGTGATCCTCAGTGCCAACCCCGGACCCATATCTAACAGTAGTGTGAAAGTGGCATCTTAGCACCTGTATAAATATCAGGATCCAAGTTGACTGAGTGGTCAGTCAATGTCGGCCTTTTGGCAAAGAGGCTCCAGTGCGGTCCTGATCTGGCTGGTCTCTGACACTTAACCATGTATGCATCACTTAGAGTCACGTGGTTAAGCGGCAACTTCTGGTTACCACTTAACACTACCATAAATTACACACCATTGTAACACTTACAGACTGGTGTGCTGAGCAACCCCAAAGACCTCACACAAAACTACACCATGGACCATCCGACCAAGAAGCTAGATCACAAATGGATGGGCCCCTTTAGATTCTTGAGGTTGAGCCCCTGCTGCTGTCAAGCTCTGACTCACAGCATGGCAAAAAGGAGTCCACCCAGTGGTGTCAGTAACAAACATCCAACCCTACCACCCAGATGTGATTGCCGAACAACCCACCGACCCCCACCCAGGCCCCAAAATCATAGATGGGGGAGAAGAGTACGAAGTCAAGAAGGTCCTTGACTCCCACTGGTGCTGAAAGAGGGCTCACAGCTCTCTATGCCAACTAAGCTCATGGGGGCCAAACTCTCCAAACTCTACTTTCTTGACTAGACTTCGCTACACTCTTGATCCTGAAACTCCATGTGGGTTCTCCAGGATTTCTGCAAGGTCTGGGCTCAGCATTGTAGGTGGGATAACCTACTATACCTTACACTGCCAGTATTTTTGCGGTTTACGTTCCTTAAGGATTCCCCATATGCGATGATCACCTACCAATGCCAATGGTGCATAAAAACATTTTATTTCATTTTATTATGGAGTACAATTGCACATAACGTGCTGGTACTGAATTGGTCCAGCCCAAAAACTATGCTTGGCACCACTGGCTGCCGAAAGACGATCAAGGGCTCAGAAAATAGAGAAAAATCATAAATATGGATCCCCCAAATTTCATCCAGATCAACCCAGCTGTTGTGGAACAATGGTGATGACAATTTCTCATCTTACTGTGAGGTTCCGCACAATGTCGAAAGGCACATGAGGGTGGCAGTGTTGAAAGTCCCATGGGGCAGAGCTGAGATCCGTACTTCGGGAGATTGCAAAACAGGTTTTTGGCCCAAAATGGAAATCACAAGCTGTACCGAAGTAAACAAACACCCAAAATGCACTCTGGAGTGCTCAGAAAAATTCAGAAAAATCACAAAGGATGCAAATGAAGATCCAATTGACATGGGGACTCTTGCAGACACTTTCCAGGACGTCTAACCCTGCACATGGGCCAATTTTACGATTCTCACACCCACCACTCGCTCAAATCTCAACCATTTGGGACAAATTTGGTATTGGGAGAAAGCTACGAACCTGGGGAATCAAATGGAGAGGTCAGAAAGGGATGCTATGGGTAGGAGGAGATGGATGAGTGTAGTGTGATGGTGGAAATTGGTGGAGGATGGCAATTATTAGTGGATGTGGCCTGCTTATCACTCCTGTCTTTCTTTTATTGAACTTCCACATCGGCCGTTGGACTTATCAGCCATACTTAACGGTCCACATGGTGTCCATAACAACAATCTTTTGTTTTATATTTTCTTTTCATTTGTTTTTCCTGTTAGAATGGGCGGATTCGGACGACTCCGGAATGGAATCGGAGACTTAGCATGGAAGGACCTTGGCCTCAGCGACTCAGGCGGAGCGCTGTGCCATTGCTGGTTGTCCTGGGGGTCCCTAATTTCGGATCTAGCAGAGGGAAAGTCTCTTGGGGGAATTCATGTCGATTTCGGACTGAGGTTACAAGTTACTAGGTACATTGTATATAAGGAGGGGTCCGGAATCAAAAGGAACAAGGGTAGGACGAAAGGAGACAAAGGGAGATGGAAAGAGGAACAACACCGAGGGTCAAGTGTTTGACTCAATGGTGTTTCCCAAAGGAGGAATGAAGGGCCAGGGCCCAAGGAGGAAGGAAGGAGGTTGGGAGTGGGGAATGGCTAGCTGACTGAATAGAAAGGAAGCAGCAGCCCAAATAGGAATGAGGGAGAATAGCGGAATTGAAATGGACAATGCAATAGTTGCAAGGTCCGGAGTAAGTCCGGAAAGTCCGAACTCGGAGGTTAAACTCCGGAATATTGGCAAACATAATTAAATGGAATGAGCTAACCAATACAATGGGTATAAGCGGAGGTGGGGTCAAAGTCCGAGGTCGGAGCTAAGACCGGAGGTTCCGGAGACAGAGACGCAAATGGGATTCCGGAGTGGAGGTCCGGAGTCGGGAGCATAGGTGTTGCGTACTCGTCTGGAAGGTGTCGAGGTTGGGGTCGGACCCAGAATGTTCCGGAGTCGGACCGAAGGTGGTGTCCAAGCCGGAGGTGGGATAACCTCTTGGGAGTCGGCAAGGAGAAGGTGACGGAAGGGAAGTAGGGCTCCGGAAGTCGGAGTTCGGAGTTCCGGGAGCCCGGAGCAGAGGTTGGGATTGTATGGATATGATATTTCCACATTATTGCTGTTCCATGTGTTTAAAAGCTCTGTACACATAGGAATGGAAAAGTGACCTCCCTTTTGACTACAGAGAGACTGTAGCGCTGAGAGATCCAAGTAAGAGAAAGAAATTCTAAGCTTGACTCCTTGAGTATTATAAGGAATCCCTGACGATTGTCCAAGATGGACCAGGGGTACGTAATTCTTAACGAGTTTTTGTGATTATTTTGTTTTGTTAGCACCTGGACTGAACCTAGGACAAGCTTAGGACATCCCAGACTCCCTCCCCACAAATTTGCTTGCATTTGGGGGGTTAGATCTCTAGCCTGCTTGCAGCGTCCACTACTCACTTGTTGTGAGCTAAACAGCTGCCCTTATTCCTACCGTTAGAATTCCACACACTCTCACCAACTCTAGCGCATCCTAGCACCTAGAGAATTTTGGGGGGAAGATGTCAGGGATGCATCTGGGGTAGAGAGGGTCCGGATGTATCACCTGGCAGAAGGGCCCTCGTGGGGTGTGAACTGGGTGTGCATGCTGGCAGGTCCGGGAAGGGACAGCAGTCCCTGGCCACTCAGACTGAAGTGGAGAATGTGTTATTATTATTAAAAGGGAAAACTATACTACTTACCGGTGGTCTGTGTAGATAGAAGGAAATAAACAGGAAGAGGAAGATGAGAAGAATGAAATAGAGAAAGAAGAAGAAAGAGAGAAAAGAAAGAGGGAGAGAGGAGGAAGGAGGAGGGAGAGGGATGGACAGCAGGGAGTGGGTGTGGTGTGGCCGGGTGGGTCCAGGTGGACCCGGGTCAGGTGGGTGTGCCCTGACAGAGGGGAGGACTACTTTTCAAAATCCAGTAT